GAGTTGGGGAGCTGCCGAACATGCCCTAAGCACTGTAAATCAAGATCACCCAATGGTGCTAGTTAATCAACCAGCTAGTTTCACCTAAAAAAAAAACCAGCTAGTGTTGGTTCTACAGTCTTAGTAGTACAATACAGAATCAGAATCAACACCTACAGATAATTAAGCCTATATAACATCTTTCTAAGATATGTGTCTCGTATTGTTTAATGTTCCTCAATCATGAAAGAGTCCAAGAACAACTCCCTAATTTGCTTTTTCTTCCGACCATCCGGCGCACAAAAACCATCCCCACCTTGGTAAACACAATGTGAGATTCGAGCCAAATTCACGCAAGTCTTGGCAAAAGATCTAGAAAATTGGCAGTGTTTGAATGCATCTTCGTTAATCGACTTCCACACTTCCATAGTAAGGTCTTCCATGGCTTCGCGGGACTCTTGCTCACTGGAGCTGTTCTCCGACATGTGAATAGCTATTGATGATGGTGCATCCCCTCGCTCCAGCTCGGCCTGTTATACATATTTTCACAAATAAGACACCTCTCATAAAGATTCAACTTTGGTGATTGAAACAGTAAAGGGCAAAACAACCCGGATAATTTTCCTTACAGAGTGGGTTGCAGAGTCGTTGCAGAGGCGAAAAACTAATGATGCGGACTGAACTAATTTAGGGTAGCTTGCAAGAACTCGATCAAGTTTTTTCATAGGTTGGGTTAGGTAGAGCATTTGCCCAGGTAAACTTTCTACCCAAAAGCTCAATCTACCTCAGATCCAAGCTTTCAATAATGGTATTAAACATAAACGACCATCGGCCGTCAAAGTTATCATTATTTTTCTCCTCTCTCCTCCTAATGATATTGAAATCTCCTCCAACCAAAAGTGGAAGCTGTTCCGATCCACAGATTCGAACAAGGTCCACTAGAAACTCTGGTTTAAGCTTAGGCTGTGCGGCACCATACACCGCCACCAACGCCCAGTTGAAACCATCTGATTTAGACCTGACTCGAAACTTGACCGCGAAGTCACCCATCACTACACTTCGGACCTCAAGCGAATCGCATCTCACACCAAGTAAGATACCACCCGATCTTCCTCGCAGGGGGAGGCAATGCCAATCGAAATCAATACCACCTACAAGAGAAGACAGAAACTGGGGCGCAAAGTTTTCTCTACCAGTCTCCGAAAGAGCAATGAAATCTAGTCGCTGCTCCAAAGCAGCCTCAGCAAGAAACCTTCTTTTAGCCAAGTCCTTTAGACCTCTGCTATTCCAAAAGATTCCTTTCATAATTCATCATGGAATTTTTTAGTAGTACGAATTCTAGCACTCCTACGAACTGCAGAATCGGGATAAATCTTCCGTTTCCACTTACGTTTTGGTTTAGTAGGCTGAGACGTCCGGTCCTCACAACCGGGTTCTACTGGAGCACCACCCTCATTCTCTATGGGCCCATCATCGTCCTCGGACTCATGGGTAGAGGGTGCTAGATCCGCACACAGACTATGAAGCACTCGCACCCCTAACGCATCAATCTCAACATCATTCATCGGCTTAACCGCTGCGAGATTACGAATAGTCTCTAAGCCCGTTCCGCCTCTAAGTCTAATAGATCATTTACCGAGTTGGAAATCTCACTATCAGTATCTCCTAGTGAAACTCCTAATTGGTTTGCATTGTTTATAATCTCCTCATTAGAAAAATGCAATAACGAATTGGAGATATTGACGGACATACCAGAGGAAATCGCAGCATCTTGAAACTTGGCCGCCCTCATAGCACACCGCTGCTGCATATCATCCACCTCCGGGTCCTCGAGGATGCGAGTGCTCATCCGATGCCTCGAAGAGTCGGGGATCCCGCCAAAAGCAACGACCTCCTCCCCGGTAAAGCCTCGCGCTGAATCCCTCAAAGGATCAACCAAAGGTGCCGAAGGAGGCGGCTGCGGGCTCCCAGGCCCCCCAGCCACGAGGTCCACGGGAACGCGAGGGAAGGAGAAGGCGGGGGCCTCCTGCCCGCACCCTCCTCCCGCCCCCCAGCTGGCGCGGGAGATAGAACTGTTGGCGAAGGAGACACGGTCTGCCTGACCGCCGGAGAAGAAGGGAGAGCCAAGGCCGCCTGCCCCAGCTCCCCCTCCAACGCGTCTGAAAGCGCAAGCGTTGCCGCCCCAACCGGGGAGGCCAGAACCGAGGCCGCCTACCTCGGGCTCACTCCCCTGACGCTGGCCACGCCCACCGGAACCTGCCCCACCGAAGGAGAAAAGGCCAAGCAGCCTCCCCCACTGCCGGCCATCGCCGGCGCCATCGAAGTTACCTGCGCCAGGCTAAGAGAAGGAGAGGCCGGGGCCACCTGCCCTAGACTCTCCTCCCCACACTGAACCGCCGAGACTATCAGTATATCTCGGTCAGAAACCATGGTAAGAGAACACGTACCCACCGGAGGCTCCACCTCCCTAACCTCGCCCACCATCACAGGGCTAGCCACAGAATCAAACTCCAAAGGCGGAAGCATACACTCAAAGCTGTCACCAAAGTCCACTCTGTAACTCCAAAGCCTGGGAGGAGCCGATGCTGGCCCAAAGGACCCAAAACGCAGCGTGTTCATCGGTACCGCTGGAGTCGATGCCGGCTCAACTCCGGAACCGTCACTAGGTAACTGAGCACCCAAACTCGACCCATTGGCCCTCTCCTCTGCTGCATCATTCTGATTCCCACGAGCACCGGCATCACCATCCCCCTCGTGCAAATCCATGGCAACCGCAGCAACCCCCTCGGCAAACAGCTCCGGATCCTCAAACTCGATCTCAAGAGGAAACACCTCTCCCTAGTAAAACCAGTTAACCACGTCCGGGACAAATGCAATGTCCAAAACACCCACTAAGAGCCTGGCCACCCCCTGTGCTCTGGTAAAAGCCATGTCCACTTCCTCAGTCATACCGACCATCGTACCCAAACTAGCCACAACTCTAACATCGGTCAAAGCTTCAGATGGGGCCCCTGAAAACCGCAGCCACACCTGTGTCAGCGGTTTGCCCTTAGGCTCCACCTTTTGCCACTCGTGAAATTCCAGGATGCACTTAGTATCAGGCACCTTACACAGCCCAAAACTCAACAGCTTCTGCAAATCATGTACCGTTGGGAAATCAACCCTAAAGACATTGTCCTCGATCTGAACGAGCTCCCACTGAAACTCACCTGGAGCCAGTTCCTGAAGCCTCTGCACAATCTGAGCTTCGGACACCACTTCGCGAGTAACTTTCACAATGCCAGTAGTCAAACTCTGGGTCTCTACAGGAATCTCCCTCGCTGTCGGGGACTCAAAGAAAGTGAGCTCAGCGCAATAAACTCCATCCATCGTAAGCGCTGGCGCCTGATCACGCATGGCCGGGCAATCCCCTCTACCATGAGCAATCTTACCACACAATCTGCAGAGTTTTGCCAAGCACTCAGCTATAAAGTGGCCTTTCTCACCACATCGATAACACAACATCTTTTTTTTTCTTGCGCGCCCCTTTGGACGCCCTCTCAGACTCAGCACTATTTCCTGCCTCCGCATTACCACTAGGAACAGGAACCTCCACATTGGCCAAAGCCGACACAACCTCCATAGCCTGGCTAGGTAACTCAGCCGACTGCACTGGATCAACGACCATATCCGTAGCTTGATGATCAACCACGGGCGGTGGTGGGGGCTGTCTGTGGAACCGACCACGACCACCACCACGTCCACCCCCATGGCCACCACGATGGCCACGGTAACCACCTCTATGTCGGTTGTTCGGGCCCGAAGCCCCCTCGACGAAACCACCCGGCGGGCCAAGGAATGGTCTCGTTGCATGCCTCTCGCACGTAAACGGAGTCCTCCTCCGATGGCCTGTCAGCGACCAGCCCAGGAACCACCAGCCCACCTGCGACCCCTTCGCTCTAGGCCTCATACCCAGCCGAAGGCGGCCCAGTGGCCACTGAAGGCCCAACAATGCCAATCACTGAATTCAAACGAGCCGCCCTAGCCACCGTGATCGGGATCGGCGCCGCCTACCGCCGGCTGGCCGCCGCACGGCCGCCTTTCTTCCTATTCACTACCACCGTCCACGCATCCGGAGGAATCAAATCGAGGAGAGTAAGTTTCGGGAGACTTACCTTGGGGATAGGTCCCTTCCATGGCTGAGGCGCCGATGCAGCCGTCCTCCGATGTACGACACGCCGGAGTAACTCCAAGGTCTCTCCAGGCCGCAACGCAGACCTCGCCAGATCCTCAGGAGTAACCACTACCTCCACAATCTCCGCCACTTCATCCTCGTCGTAGCCGGGATCGAAAGCTTCACAAATGACATCTGAGGGAGTTGGTGAGTATTCCGTCGAGCCGCCGGAGTGTCCGCCGTCTTCTTCCTCATCCCCGCTGTCCTCTTCCGCAAGCGCCCAGAATTGCCCGCCGACCTTCCGGCGATCACCGGGGGTGCCCGCCGTCGAGGCGACCGGCGTCATGCTATCGCCCGTACAAAGATACCATTAAATGAATGGCTCGTCTTAACTAGGTGGATGAATACAGGACACATCGCACACCAGCTTGCCTTTTACCGCCACGGTACCTTCTTTTTGAAGCAACGTTACATAAGTGTAAAGTACTTTAGATTACTGAAAGTTGCTAACAACCAATCACATCTTGTTATGGAGCAGATTGAAGTCGATACTTAGCGCTGTAAATCAAGACCACCAAATGGTGCTAGATAATCAGCCAGCCAGTATTTGTTCTACAGTATTAGTAGTACAAAACAGAAATCAAAATCAGTACCTACAGATTATTAAGCCTATATAACAGGCCAGTTCTTTTGGTAGCTTAAAAAATAAGCCACCCTCTCCCCAGCTTTTCTCATAAGCCGTCTCTCTTGTTCATTGGGACTTCTAAACTAGTTATGGATAACCAACTTAGAAGTCTCATCAAATTTAGAGCGTGACTTATTTTTTAAACTGGGGAGAGGCAGCTTAATTTTTAAGGGCTCCTATTGTTTAATGCTTCTCACTAATGAAAGAGTCCAAGTATAACTCTCTGATTTGCCTTCTCTTTTGACCATCCGGCACACCAAAACCATCCCCACCTTGGTAAACACAATGTGAGATTCGAGCCAAATTCACGCAAGTCTTGGCAAAAGATCTAGAAAATTGGCAGTGTTTGAATGCATCTTCGTTGATCGACTTCCAGGCTTCCATAGTAAGGTCTTCCATGGCTTCGCGCGACTCTTGCTCACTGGAGCTGTTCTCCGACATGTGAATAGCTATTGATGATGGTGCATCCCCTCGCTCCAGCTCGGCCTGTTATACATATTTTGAAAAAACATAGAAATAAATATCATAAGACACCTCACATCAATATACAATTTTGGCAATTGAAACATTACGAGATAGAAAAAAACCCGGAGAGATTGTGCTTACAGAGTGGGTTGCAGAGTCGTTGCAGAGCCGAAGAACTAATGGCCCAGACTCAACTAATTTAGGGTAGCTTCCAACTTTAGCAAGAGACATTGGGGTAATCTTTTCTTCCATGTGGAGCAGGGGAAAGGCATGTTGCAGCAACAGTGGAGCAGAGGATGAAATTGATCCGTTGTCCAGATACTCATGCAATGTTGGTCTGTGGTTTCCATGGCGCCACTTTGCCTCCACCAAGAAAGACTCCGCCGTATCTCGCCACTGCAAAATCATGCAGATTTGTTTACGGTTCCTTGTGAAAACAATTTATATCCTATGAGCAGTATATGAACTTACTGCTTTCTGAAGAACATGATGAGCATCGCAACCATGTTGTTCCAACACATTTTCAGCCACCTCAGCGGATGTGTTGTACATCACGGAATAGAGTGCTTGCATGTATTCGGGGAGTCTTTCACTAGGACTTTCTTCCCACCTGAAATTATTTATTAATTTTAGATAATGGAAAAGCTTCATTTAATGTGAAACTAACGTGTAATATATATGTTGCACATGCTAAACATATAGTTACCTTCCAATGGCGTCGGTGAAGAGAACAAGTTCATCTATAGTTCCATACACATCATAAACATCATCTAAGTGAACTATTAGATTGGCGACTTTAGCAAGCACTTCTCGACATGCTCCATTCTTTGGCTCCCACACAATTCCATTTGCGTAATGGAAGCACTCCATGAGACGATCCCTGGCGAACCCTAATTTTTCACTAAGGGCGGTCCCCTTCCACCACCTAGAATTAATTAGGTCAATTTTAATATCTCAAAAACCTATCAACTATGTGAATTACGGGCTTATTTAAATGTACGACTCTCACGCTCAGTTACCTTGCCAGTCTTGCGAGTTCTTCCTGATGCAAACTTTGCACATTGTTGAAGTCCGTTGTTGCAAATCTAATGAGCAATGGGTCGGAATTGCTCTCATCTTTAGCATAGTGATCTATGAACCATCTTGCCTCTAGTCTAGGAGACCTCCGGTGCAACGGAAGGTCCAAAGAACGAACTACACCGCGCCGTAAGTGGTAATCCATGGATGGCAAGAGCTTTATGAGAGCTTTCTTCGAAAATGTTCTTGCCTCATCCAGTGTTTCCTCGCCTCTGAACGCAAGGTATGAAGCCTCGTAGAGTGAGAGGAGTCCATGGACATCGTCGGATCCACGCTTGAGAGTTTCCAGAGATTCTATATATATCGTTACCATGAAACAATGTCAGTTAAGTACATAAGTATATGAAACTGTGCAATACACACAAGTCAAAGTATATGAAACCATGCATTTGGTGCAGATATGTTTATTTTCCAAAAATTTAGCCGTAGTTTTAGGTTCCTTCCTTACATCGTCAAAGTGTCTGTTTTCCATATTTCATATTTCAGGAGGTACCTGGAGGGAAGAGGACTGGGAAACCACTCTCCCTGAGCAACCTGAAGCTCAAGGCCGCGAAGCAACATCACTGGCTTCGTTGTCCCAGTTGCACCGGTGAGGCTTGTGGTGGACGGAGCTGAGGATACCGGCGACCTCCTCCTCGAAATGGTAGGCGATGCCGAGCCGTTGCACCGTGTCGACAAGCCCGAGCTTCGCAGCTTGGTGGTCGCCTCGGCTCGCCGCCACCAGCCGCTCCCTCACGCCAGCCTTCAACTTATCGACCTGTGACATCATCTATGCATGCACGGAATAAATTTCCATGAGTAATTCATCTACTTTATGTACTACTTGCCCGGTTGAAAATACGATATGTTCAGCTGATAAATGTACTTGATCTGCCTGTCCGCCATTGTTGGGCTAGAGCTGGAGGAGGGAGTCGTAATCCCAGGAGCTGGGAGCGTAGTTGGCAGACCGCCGAGCCGCCGCGGCACAGCGCACCGTTGCCTGCGAGGACGTCGGAAAGCATGTACTCATCGTGGCCATTGTTTGCTGCAATTGCCACGCCATGGTGCGCACTAGTTTGAGAGCTTGGCACTTGGCAGCGAGAGCTAGGCAACGAGGTTAGTACTTCTAAGCTGCAGTAGCCAATAAACTTACTGCTGCTTGCTGTTTGAGAGTAGCCAGAATACGTGCCAATTTATAGGCGAGCTACACCTAGGCACCCAGCAACATAGCTGACTCAGCCAGCATGAAAATCGTGGGACATGACGCATACCGAATTGCTAGTACTATTTCTTTTCAGCCACATATTTTTGTGGTGACTATCTGTACCAACATTTCCTCTGGAAGCTATTTTTTTTTACCCAGATATCCAACGAACGTTAGATTTTTAGTCATGAAAAAAATTAACGTTTTCATGGAAATTTGTGTTCGTTGAGGATGACAAGTTTAGTTGGTGAGCATGACAAGTCCGCCGGATTTCATTTTTCGCCAGAATATATCCATGTTTGCAAACTAATTTTGCCATCCTCGCACCAATATGAATTATTATGAAAAGTGTATGTTTGCTATGGCTAAAATCAGACTTTCTGTTTTTCTGGCAAAACTCCATACAAACCACTGAGAACTTAATAATACTCATTTTCCCAAACCATGGTGGATTGAAATCACGGTGGAAAATACATAAAGGGACCGCATAAAATAACATGGTTGGAATTAAAATCCAACAGATCGGCGTGCTCCATCTTCAACTTCCCGAAGAATTATTTGTTGCTCTTCAAATTGCCAATGTGAACAATTTTTCCCTCATCCCACTGGTCCAATCGCCTACTCCTGTAATCAGCGGTCGTACCCCGCAAGCCTAGCGGCCCTACCTTGCCTGAGCTGTCTCCTGCAACCATCCCTCTATACCGCCGCGAGAGCTATGTCTCGCTTATAGTGAGACGATAGCTTCTCCCGCGTCGAGCGTGGAAGCTCCTCTCGCCGAAGGTGCTTGCATATGGGCCGTCCATCAGTGTAGGTTCGCTGCTGCCGCTTGTGCGCTGCAGGTTCGGTCGCTATAGGTTTTCTCCAAAACAAATTCTAGTTTTCATTTTCTTTTGTTTTCTGTTTGGTTTAAATATTTCTTCTTGCTATTCTTTTTTATCATTATATTTCATTTTTTGTTTTTCTTTTCTTTTGTTTGTTTCTTTCATGGTTTTTATCAGTTTTCTTTCTTTCTGATTTTCCTTCTTTTCTAGCTTTTTTTTATTTCTTGGTTTTCAATGATCTTTTTCTCTTTGTTTATTTATAGTCTTTCACTGTTTTTCCATTCTTTCTTTTTTCTTTGGTTTCTTTTGTTCTTTTTCGTCTTTCATGGTTTTTCATTTTTCTTTGTTCTTTTGATTTTCATTCTACATTTTCGTATACGTCAAGACCATTTTCCTTACACACATTTAATATTTTTCAAATACAAGTTGAACATTTTTTAATACATGTTCAACATTTGTTTCTATACATATTTTTAACATTTTTTAACTTCTTAATTCATATTCTTCAAATACAAGGTTAATTTTTTTGAATACATGGTCCAAAAATTATATACACATTTAAAACATTTTGATATGCTTGACTACATTTTCAAAGACAGAATTAACATTTTTTAATACATGCTCAACATTTTTTCTACACACATTTAACATTCTTCAAATTCTTAATTAACATTTTATCAAATGCAAGATTAATATGCTTATAGTACATGAGCAAATTTTTTTATATACATTTAACATTTTCAAATGCTTGATTAACATTTCAAATACTAGTTTAGAATTTTTTTAGTACAACACAAAATTAATTTTTTTTAATACATGGTCAACATTGTTTCTATACAAATTTGACACTTTTCAAATGCTTGATTAACCTTATTCAAATACTTTTTTAATGTTTTTAAATGCTTGATACATATTTTTAAATACGTGATCAACTTTTTCACCACGTTTAATATTTTCTGTATACATTTTTCTTATACATTATAAACATTTCTCTATAAAGAGTTAACATTTTTAAAATACTCGATTAGCATATTTTTCAAATGCTTTATGCATTTTAATATATTTATTTATAATATTTAGAAGTATAAACAAAAGTAAAAAAAAAGAAAAATGAAATAAAAACATGGAAAAAACAAAGAAATGAGGCCGTGGCCTCTAGCACGCCTGGGCCGGCCCGTCTGACGCTCCCCAAACACAAGACTTCCCTACATCTCACTGTAAGCAAGACACAGAGGCACCCCTATACCCCTCACAATTCTGCCACCCACAACCTCGTCGCAACCCCGCACTCGAACCAGGGACGAAGCCAGGGAAAATCGGTCGGTGTCGGCGTCTCTTCTATGCGGCAAAATCGGCTGAACCAACAAAAAAATTTCATTTGCTTGATATTTAGCGAATGTGATAAACAAGTGGTTCGTGCTAGACTTCAGGCTCACATGGATGGATCCGTGTGAGACAAACGACGAACGTTCCGTTGTCGGCTAGCCTTGTAGTACTACTATGCATGGATCGTCGTTTACTCGTTCTCTTGCACACACGCGACGAGAGCCACAGCTAGCTAGCACATGATACACAATTAACCGCCTTTCCATTAGTTCCATTATTATGTGGACGTGACAACCTCGCACGTACGTACACGCGTACTCTCGGCGACTATTCAACTCAGAGCGATTGCACGCCATGCACGTACACTCATTGTTGCCTTGACTCGTCTCTTCACTGTCCGGCGGCAATCTCGATCGTGACTCGTCTGAAGGACATGACTGTGATAACTGATATGCACAGCTAGCTAGTGGACAAGCTAAGGTTGGCCGTCAATAATCACTGTTACTCCATTCGTCCTATAATGTAAAAATGTTTTTATGTAAAAAATGCTTACTTTGTTATGTTGCTTTAATGCAAAGCTGATCAAAAGCCTGTTTCAAGAAGAGGAAGGATTTTTTTCGAATCATAACGATTTGGTGTTGTCTACGAGTACAATTGGGGAACTGTGAATTCGAATTGCTAGCTACTCCCTCACTTTACCCTAGCAGTTCTCCCATACCACCCCGCATGGTGCTAGACCCACTTAGGTTACTCGGTTCGGCATGTCAACTCCTTCCTCCGCCACCATGCGCTAACCGAGGCAACGACGACATTTTTTCTAGCATTGGTTTGGTAAGTATTGCATGTTGCCCTCGTTGCCTCCTTGTGATTTGTGAGCGATGGCCATTGTGTTGTCGCCGATCATGTGTTGTGATCTGCTCGTTAAGCCGAGGGCCTATGCAGCCTTGCTTGTGATGTACCATCAGTTCAAATTACTAGTCTGCTATGTATGATACCATATCGCTTTTGTTTATCTTTTTTGATGCTACATGTAACTTTTGTGAATTTATTATTTTCCTTCATTCCATGATTCATGATACTACATCACTAGCATATTGGTGTATTATTTTTCCAATGTTGATCTCTTACTTTGCTATGTCACTAGAATCTTGCTTTGCTTAGGAGACATTTGAGTATTGGATCATCATAATTTTAGTTGTCATTACAATTTCTTTGATTCATCATCATTACTATCTAGAAAGTTTGTGACATAGTAACTTCTACTGATATGTATCATTTTTTTGTGTTGTGCAAGAGTCATAGACAAGGAGCATATAATATATCTAGCAAATTCACTCCCATCTGATGTGGATAGGTACTACTCTTGGTATTCTCTCACAATAGTTTAAGTGGATACATAAATTCTATTTAAAACGAAACCTTGAACCCTACAACCTAAACTTGTTTTTTGCTGGCTAACATTGATGCCCACATGTTATTTTATTTTTCCACATAATTTTTCCATAGATGATTGTTTTCAATAATGTGCAAACAAGGCGACCACGATCCTTTTCGCTAGTGTAACCTATTGGTGTACTACAGAAAATACATTTTTTGGAAGAGTGTTTTGTTTGGTGAGCTACTAAAATGCCATAGAGGAGACGGTGTTGAATTTTAGTGGCACTAACAATACTATCACAAAACGTCAGAAGATCACATTGGCTCAAATTAGTATGAATAGCTTTGGTATATGCTTTCTCAACCTCAAGCATGATTTGGAAAAAAATCAAGGTGATGTTTGTATGTCATCCTTCTTTGCTATTCCGAATTGCTTACATTCAATAAATCCGCATGTTATATTGATTGGTCAAATTGATCATCTTAATCTATGTGCAATATGGGACCAAACCTGAGGAAACATCGTGTCCTCTTCTGTATATTACCATCGTTCCGATATCATCAGCTTGGGACCCCCTACCCGAGGTCCGTCGGTTTTAGCATCGA